AAATGCCACACTTATACTTTTACATTTCCAAGAAAATGAGTTACCAATGAATGTTCCAACAAAAAACACGCCAAGTGGGACATTGATGACTGGAGAAGTAATGTTAATGAACCAGTTCGGCAGGAAGGGCGTGATTCTCAGGAAAATTATGTAATTGAGGAGATGCTCCCGATGTTTGTTCACCTGAAAGTAACAAGACAATGTGGTTATTCCTTGACTTAAAGCTTTCGTGACTGCAAGAATTAATATTCTTTGGGTCTTTCGGTAAAGTCACGTAGATAGGTAAAAAAAAAGTAACAAAAACTACGTTTCGATCGCAACACAAGCGGTCGTCCTGATGTATACATATTTTCAGGACGACCGGAGAGAATGTGTACATCAGGACGACCGCTTGTGTTGCGATCGAAACGTCGTAGTTTTTGTTATTTTCTTTTAACCTATCTACGTGACGTTACCGAAAGATGCAAAGAAAAATGTGATTAAATATTTTTTCTCAAAATGAAACCGTAAGTAGTGTTTATAAAGCCGTTATAAAATAATTACGTGTTGTGTTTAATTAGATTCGTTTTACATATTAATTATGAACATGTACATTTGGATTAAAATAGTGCCCATAAGGTAATACTTACATTATCTGACCATGCAGCAGCCTTCTCTGAAAGGTACTTGTGGACAATTGGCCGACCAACAAGATATGACAGCATGTAGCAAAAAGATGCACCAAGTCCGGAACACTATAAACGAGTACATTCATATATTTCATTATGGTGCTTGCAATTTACACATACGACAATTGGCATTTAACACTTTTTCAATAAAAAAAATGCTTGCAAAAGTCTTACCAAACAAACCAGCAGCAAGGCCAAGGGGAAAGGATAGAGAAATCCTGAAAGAATACTGAGGAATATAGAGCCTGGAATAGCAAATGTCTGGAGACTGCAAATATGTAAGTCAAGGACAACACCACATTTGAACACATTTAAAAAAATAAATGGTGCTATAATTAAAAGCATGTTCAGGTGTTTGCAGTTTAACGTTCAAGGCACAATTTGCTCGCATATGAAAAAGGATACAAAATATATGTTGAAAAAAATGCAACCATGACTTGAACGTAAAATGTTTCTTTGTATTTTGACAAAACTTGGCCAAGTGCTTTTGCATCATCCATATCCTTGGGAAGCTTGATCTTTCCTCTTTCCTCTCTGTGGAAAAACAGTTTATAAGGAACACAATAACATGTTTATATAAATAGTACATAAAAAACCTAGTTAAAATATATATTTTTGATTTATTCGAGGGACACGAGTGTAAAACAAAAGAGAATATGTATACCGAGGACATTTAATAAAGGCAGATGAGAATCAAATACAATAAATGAAATGGAAATTCAGAGCAGGTTGGAGTGGTTTTAGAAAACTAGTTGACAATGACAGGTAACATGCCATTGTGTCTAAATGATATTTGCAATCAACGCATATTACCCATGATGACATGAATCAGAAACATGGACATTGAAAAATAAAATGGGATAAAAAGTTAAAAAGTACACAAATAAACATGGAGGGGTGCATGCTTGGAATAAAAATCACAGACTTAAAGAAAATCAGGACACAAATGCGAATTAAATATATCATACTGGCCGTTAAGGAAAGTAACACAACATTAGAAGGGTAGTTGATAAATGAAATTGCTGATGTAACAGCAGCCAAAGGAGAGAATATGACTGAGAGAATAACCACCACAGACACCTAAGATTGAGAAAAATGTATGTACAGGAACAAGATGGATGATGGTAAGTTCATTAAGGGATCGTGACTGTGTGAGGACTTCATCCAGTAGTAAATAGATATTGGCTGATGATACAGTATATTTAAAGCCACTAAAAAAACGTATGCTCTCATGTCCACCCTTAAGACATTCACGACACCCACACGTATATTAAACACCAAAAACCAATAATGAACAAAGGTCTACACTTTTTCCTCATTGACCGTCATACTGTGTGGTTAGTACTTGAAGAAGTAAGAGGCGGGATATGGAGCATGATATTGCATTTGCTAAAACATTCTAATGTATTGTCTTGACATTGCAGATTTGCCCAATGTAATTGGCACAAAAGTCACCTACTCGCTCAGCTGTGGGAAGTTAATATAGATGATAAACATGATTGCTGCAGCTGTCAGGAAGATCAGAGCCAGCAAGAGCAGCGGCTTCTTTGTAGAGTCCACACCATCTTGGTTATTTTCTGCACACACACATTACATTAACAATAATGTAAAAAATGACAGTGGAAGCATCGATAAATAGCTATTAATTGGAACAAGGATGCCACGAATTAGTGCCATCTCTAACATAAACTATGTATGAACCAGAGTTCAGAGTCTTCAGACTTAAATGAGCATGTAAGTCCCTAACCTGTCATAGCTTATATGCTAGGGCCATTTTCCCCAAGTTATAGCAGTTTCTCAAGGCTCCATCTTTCAGACGGACTCATAATTGAAATATTAAGACTAATTCAGCTAATGCTTATTTATTTTTGGGAGCAGGAAAAGACTCCGATATATTTTTACAATCATATTTTCTGAATGCACAATGGCAAAAAGCTTGAAACAGCTTGACAGCAACTCCCCTACTCAATTGACAAATTACCATATTGACAAGTTACCAATTGTGTGAATTAAAATATAGCAGCATCCTCACCCCCACCCACCCCCTTTGGTGGCATCTGTACAACAGATCCCAACTCTCAAGTCTAAACTAGCCAATGTCATGCTCCACCACTGATTTTGACATATCGACCACATGTTTCGCATTGACCACATGTTTCGCATCGACCACATGTTTCGCAACTCGAGCTCTGCGTGAGCACCGAGGCTTTTGCGACACCGTAACGTACGTTTCAGGGCTGGTGAGAGTCTCCCATCGGGATGGGAGTTGCTCTGTGCGACCCTGCTCCTGGTGCTGCTCGTCCTGCCCTGCTGTGCTCCAACCTCGGCCTTCGCCATTCCCATAGAGCTCGGGTCTCCTGATGCACCTAGTGAACAACAATTTAGTTTAATGTAGCATTTAAATGTAACCGCATCGCGAAACGCTATGCAGAAACAGGAAAATTCGTTTCCTTAAAGGAAATGAGTCCGAGAAAGCAAACGTGAGTAACCGTTACAGCACGGAACTTTGTCAATTCAATGCTGAAGGCCTCCCAATATTGTGTTGGCAATGGGATTGTTTGGACATACTTCCCCCACATTGGTCATTGCAGATTGGTGAAGGGGGATGCCTAGGACCAGCTCGGATGTCAGTAAACACCGATGTTAGCTCTTTGGTTATTTCGGTAAAGTCACGTAGAAAGAAAATAAATTAAATAGAGTACGACGTTTCGATTGCAACACAAGCAAACGTCATCAGGTAGAACTAAATTTGAGAGAGAGACAAAACAGACACGGAGACACACAGAAGCAGAGAGAGACAACACAGACACACAGAGAGAGACACACAACATAGACACACAGACACAATGATGTTAACCTTGTCCAGGAATCAAACTCATTCACCGGGTTCACAGTACAGTACACCAACCACTGCTCCACAAATAAACACCTATTCTGTACTTTTCATAAAAAAATCCGATGGTGTTGTCGTATAATGTACTGCTGCTACTATTGGTTTTTCAGATTTGGTTTTGGGGCTCCCGGGTTAATGAGCATGAACGCATCATTGGCGACCACAAAATGTGGGCTTGCTGCCATGATATGATGGTGCACATATTGCACTTAATTTCCAGAGGTCACCGGTTTGTTTTAGTTGTCGAATACTGCGCATACACGTACAGGATTTTTTTTATCTCCCATAACACTGGACTTGTAATCCAGAGGTCCCTGATTTGATCTCTCAGTACGGCAGTTGAAACAATGGGAAAGTTTCTGAATTCTGCCCGCCTGTCCACTCGGCAGCAATGGACAAAATGGATTTTCACCACAATCGTAGTGCTATCCAACACTTTTAAGAAATCTAGGGTGCGACCAGTTGAATAAATGTTGATGACAACACGTTTTTTCACATCTGTCCTTTCACGTAGGTCTCTACACATAAATAAAACATTTCATCGCATTGGCTACACGCCCTTTCGAGTGTCCATTACTTGAGCAGCATCGGTTGAACGCAAGCTCGAATGCTCATTAAGGGGTCAGATATGCGAAGGGAACGTCTTTTTTTTTATTCCGTACTAATAGTCTCCACAACGCCGCTAATGATGAATTTGATGTTGGGTTGCCCGGTGCTTTAAGGCCACGAGCCAATGTTATGTAATACACGTGTGACCACGCAATGAAATATAAAAACCTCTGATACCGAGTACCACCTTACGGAAACGCGACTCAAAAAAGCGCACCCACACGAACCACCACAGTCATCACCACACACAATGTAACAAACAATTGCGTTCCAATAATAATAATCATCGTCGTCAACAGCCACGGTCGATCCACTGCCGGATCAAGGCCTTCGCGAAGCTGCCATCTCTCAGGCTGGACCCAGCGCTGGAGTAACAATCCACCTAACAGGGGCACGAGAGGACTTCATCGCTCCGTCTCCTCGACGACGCCGGTACCTCTCGTCGACGTTTAAAACCCCCACGAGTGCCGAGCACACGCGAGCTAAAGGGGGCCTATGTTAGAAAAAAATGAAAACGTCACGCGGAACAGCAACGCTTGCCATGAAAGATCGAACAGATAAAGCGACGACACAGAACGCATGCATTTAAACACGGAGAACTCACCTTTCGCTGGTAGGAAAGAAGAATTCCACACCCCCCCTCTCTCTCTCTCTCCTCGGGTTTCACCTTCAAGACGAAGCGCGGAGAAGCCGTGCGAGCGACTGGGGTTCGCCTCTCTTGTGCCGGTGAAGCTGACCTCTGACCCCGTCCCACCCTCCACCTACCCCCGCACGTCACTTCCCCAAGGGCTCTCTCTCTCACCACTTCTTTCACTGCCGGGTGAGGCTCAATGTGTCTCGGTGGTGGTGGTGGGTAAAAGTCTGAGCACGCACGCACGCACGCGTACTTACGTGGCAGTGGGGAGGCCCAAAGACAAAGATACTCCCCACCGCCGTGTGGCCTGAAAACACACAGACTGTCGGGGAAAGTGCGTTGCTGTTGATACGAGTAGCACCCATTGAATGCTGGCACGGGGCACACACGATGCGGTCGGGGGGGGGGAGAGGGGGCAGAACCACGCCCGGCCGCCTTTGTCTTCCCAGTGACGATATTTAACTACACAACCGCACAAGGGTAACTCATTTGAGGCTGAGTCGACCTAGGGGAGGCCCCAGTGACGTGGTCGTCTTAAGGTTTACGACGGTCTGTATATATTTATTTTACGACGGGTCGTACTACATATGGGGGTGGGTGGGGGCGGAATTAGGGGGAGTGTGCCGTAAAGCTCATGCGCATGCGCACTAGCGGCGCGGTCGAGGGTTCCTTTTGGCGCCGGGAGGCCCCGCGTGTCGGAGCGAGCGAGCGAGGGAAGATTTAAAAAAATATATAACAAATAATTTAAACTTAATAACAACAGCGAAACATCGAGACGTCTTTTTGTTCATATAGGACGGCACGCAGAGAGAGAGAGAAGCGATGGATCCCGGACGAATAATCGAGGCGCTGCGGGGAACCATGGAGCCCAGCCTGAGGCAGGCGGCCGAGACGGAGCTGAACCAGGCGAGTCCGAGGCGTTGGGCCCAAGCTGCGCGGTGTCGCCGCCGCCGCCTCCTCCGCGTAGATTCGCGTCGTGATAAAAATATATATCGGTCGTGCCTTTTTAGCGGTGGCGTGGGCATTTATTTTGGTCGTCGACTGTTAGGCACAGCGTTGTCCGTTGTTCGGCGGTGGTTTGTTCCGCGGATCGTTTCTTTTGTGCTGTACGGCGTTGGAGGGGTTATTTAATTCATTGACGTGGAATGTGAGCGTGGTGGTGGTGGGGCCCACATGGTTCTCCGTCTGCCCCTGCGTGCGACCGCGCGACGCTAATTCACTCGGGTGGGTTTTGTTAAAGATGTACGGAATCTCAATTGGATTAGGCGTCGTTTAAAAAAATAAGATCCCGAGTACGGTATGTTGAGTGCGGTGCTCTCAAGCACGTGGTTTTGATGCGTTTCATTTGGTTTCGGACGGATTGTGAGCAGCCTATCTTAAGTGTGTGACGACAAAACACGACTCGAGTGAAGATTAAGGGCTTTGTACTGCAGTACAGTATAATATCTGGTTAAAATTAATAAACTAGAACTGAATTGGATTTAATAGCAACGCCAGCACACGCCGAGAGGGAAACAATACATTTTTGAACTTGTCTTCCATTTCCTCTATACACACGACCACGTCTAAAGAAAGTATCCAACGGCAGAGCCGAAAAGCAACGGCGAATGTACATACAGATAATAAACTGAAATTAAATAAAGACTTCTTTTATATTGTGCCACCCACCCAGCTGGTGCTGTTTCCCGCGTGGTAGCGAAAGGAACTCTGGGGCGAGAGTCCCTCCCTTAGCCATGTGGGCGATGCCCCGCATCTAATTTAGTTCCAGTTTATTTTAAGCAGTAGATCATATTGTACAATGAGCGCGTACTTGTGGGAAACAAACTGCTCGAATACTATAATCGTGCCACGTAGATTGTAATGCGTAAAATTGTATTTGTAATGTTAAAACAATCATCTGGACGCTAACGGGAGCCCCCGAGTCGCGCACATTTTAACTGGGAACTTGCGGGCGGATATTGGTTGCTTAAATTTTATGCTGACTTAAAAAGTTACGCTTTTCAACACTCCGTTCGATTGAGGACGGTGCGCATATTCTAGTTAGTGCCTGTCCAGCCGTTGGGTGGATCCGTCAATAAGATGTTAACTTACTCTTTGGGCCTTTCGGCAAAGTCACGGAGCTTTAAGTCAAGATTTAAGACCTTAACTGTTGGCCTCTGTAATGATGCGTTCCGGTTGGTGCTAATTCTTCTTGCCGCTGGAGACGTGATAATCAGCCGACTTTATCTTGGCCTGGCCATGGTTTGAATTTATGGTCTCACAACTGGTAGATTTTTAATCTCCGGCATTTAAATACAGTTTATTTCTAGATTCTAGCTGTATAGTGCAAAACCTCTGAACGTTAAGGATTTCCAAGGTGAACGTAATGTTTCCCGCACTTCCGATTAGCACGGTTGGCTGCGGTACGGTGCGAAAGAAGTTCAACATAAATACATAATATTGGATACGATTAATGATACAGAAATGTACAACGTGTCGTTTTTTAGATGTGTTTTTTAGTCTTTTTCGTCATTGTGCTTTTTTTAAAACTTAATGGTAGTGCTGGTATTTTGGGCATAATTGCTTAGCTGTCACAACAAGTGAAAAATTATACTGTTATTCAAGCATTAATTACTCCACATGGCTGGCTCATGTTAGATAACTTATTTTTGTGTTCCACAAGTGGAGATGCAAAAATGTAAGCTGCTTTTTTTCTGAGACTAGCTCAAAAAGCTATGGTCGTCAACTCGCTAAGTATTTTGGTAAATTTGTTGCATCAGAGTGCAAATACGTGTCATTTTTCTTTGCTTGCAGGTGCACAAGATCATCAGCTTTGCGCCGACACTGCTGCAGATTGTCATGTCTGAGAATCTGGATATGCCTGTCCGTCAGGCAGGTGAGGTACACGGTAGACAAGCTATTATTTACAGCAGATGAGATGTGAAACGATTGTAAACTTTATCAATATAATTTACAATGAGATTCCCCCTTGGTGTGTTGCGAACTGCAGTGTTTAACATTGTAAGTTAATGTAAAGTTATTACAAACGACTCTGTTTAGGTTTTTCTTTCACTGTTTAATCTGTTGAGATTTCGTTTTTAGAAAAGGTGTGTGTGGGGAGAAATCGACTGACGTAAAATATGCTTTGCAGGTGTGATTTACCTGAAAAACATGGTGAGTCAGTTTTGGCCGGACCGTGAACCACCACCTGGTGAGATCATGCCATTTAACATCCACGAGAATGACCGTGAGCAGATTCGCGGCAGCATAGTGGAGGCCGTCATTCAGGCTCCGGAGCTCATCAGGTAACGATCTTTTGTATTCAATTGATGGTTTAAGTACTTTTTTCCATCATAGCTGCTTAATTCGCATTTCCGATTAGCATGGTTGGCAACACACGATGCAAAAGGAGTTCAAAATACATACAACATACAATTGTAACTTATAAAAATGTGAGTTATGTATGAGCTAAAGCATAATGCATTGTGTCTTCGAAATAGAAATTTCAATTTGAAATCAATTACAGTAATCGTTCAGTTCTACTGGGTACCCCACTCTGAAATGGTATGTTCTGAGTTTGCTATGCCACATGAACAGGAAAAAAACTACTTGTGTGCATTCGCCCTTCTGCAGAGTGCAGCTCACCACGTGCATCAGTCAAATCATCAAACACGATTACCCGGGAAGGTGGACAGCTGTCGTGGACAAGGTTGGATTCTACCTGCGATCTGATAACAGCGCCTACTGGCTGGGCAGCATGCTGTGCCTGCACCAGCTTGTCAAAGCTTATGAGTAAGTCAAGAATGCCAGGGAATGGAAACCATGGGGAAATTAAATAATAGCAGCCATCAATTGTCTTGCCAGATAACGTGTCTATATTATCTACGATTATTTGAGATGTGTTTAGTGTTTATCTGCCCGCATGCTAGCAAAGTTATGCAAAATGCATTGCGGGGAATATATTGATGGCATTTTTTGTATAGTCCCTAATTTTTTTATCCAAATGTTATTTTCCTGTCGTACAAGGTACAAGAAACCGGAAGAACGAGGGCCATTGCTGGAGCCCATGAGCCACTTCCTTCCCACGCTGCAGGAGCGCTTTGTTCAGCTGCTCAACGACGATTCACCTTACTCTGTACTCCTGCAGAAGCTGATCCTTAAAATCTTTTATGCGCTCATGCAGGTATATTTTCCTTAGCCAGACAATATATAGAATTGTTGCACTAGCATTGTATAGATGTGCATGTTTGAAACGATTAGTAGACATGGGTTAGAGATTTTCGTTATACATTTTTGATAGATCTGTGTCTTAAATGATTGCTATTTATGAATGCTTATTACAAAGCTGCTTCAGGAGTGATGTATAACACACAAACGGCTTGAGCAGCTTCTGGCTGAATGAAGTACCGTCACTGGATAGTATCTGACCTGAAATGCAGCTCTTAATTTGAAGGGAACCACTAATATCAGAATGATGTTGTATACATGGTTTTTTTATATTATTGTTGTGTTGATCACTTTCAGTTCACACTACCTCTGGAGCTCATAAATCAACAGACCCTCACTCCCTGGATGCAGATTCTTCGCATTGTGGTAGACAGAGAGGTCCCTGCGGTAAGTAAAAATAGTAAGTGTTTGTGCAATAACTTTCAACCCAAAACTATTTACTGTGCTAATTTTGTCGACTCAGTTGAGTGTTTAATTAAGCTTGCAGTATGTATAGTGGTCTCATGAGCTTTATATACGTTCTGCGTGATTGTTCTTGATTTTTTTAACCCTCTTTCCATGTTAACCTTTTAGGAAACTCTTCAGGTGGACGAGGAGGACAGACCAGAGCTCATATGGTGGAAAGTGAAGAAGTGGGCTCTGCACATCCTAGCCCGTCTGTTTGACAGGCAAGTACACAGCCCTATCAGTGTTTGACCATTATGAATTAATTCCACACTTAATGCATAAGCTGACATTCATTATCTACCTTTTCGAGGTACACGGTTTTTGTAGTCTTCTTTAATGACGTATGAAGATATAGGCATCCAACAGGAAAATAGATACAAATCATGCAGCTTTAAAAAGATATATATGCTTATCAAGTACAGTATATTGAGTATTCTGCAATATTACACTTGGGAGGTGTAGAAATGTTGACACTTGTGGGATTTGTCAAACTAACATGCATGTTTAAACTTGTGTTGAATAGTCTGCTACATCTTATAAAAATAACTGTTTTTTGTTTTTGCAGGTATGGCAGTCCTGGAAATGTGACAAAGGAGTACACTGAGTTTTCAGAGTTCTTCTTGAAGACCTATGCTCTCGGCATTCAGCAGGTAAAAATACACTTTTGTAAGGTGGCTCTGAAGATGAATTCATACTAAGTATATTGAATTTGTGCTTTCAATATTATTGCAACTGAAATGATTTGAATACCCAAAAGTAAAATATTAAGGTAAATAACATACAAGCCAAAACGTCTTTTTTTAACCAATTGTACTTGAGCAAATATTGAAAGTATTTTTCTCTACGATAGTTCTGTCTACGAGATGTTTTGGTTGGATTATATTAAACTTGCGCTGTCAATTTTTCCTGTCACAATGCCATACCTGTGTAGGTGCTTTTGAAAGAGGTGGATCTTTATCGGCAGAAGTTCTACATGGCTCCACGTGTGTTGCAACAGTCACTCAATTACCTGAGTACAGGTGTGGCACATGCTGTCACCTGGAGTGGCTTGAAGCCACACATGCAGGTACATTTTTGAGGAAGAAATTAGCATGGTTCTGTTAGTAGTTTGTAAGCTTTTCAAAATGAATAGAAACCTATTAATTTATAAATGATTTCTTTGGATGCGGAGTGATGGTACAATGGTTAACGTGCTGCGCTATGAACCCGGAAACCTGAGGTTGCTTGCCAGTCACAGCTAACCTTTTAGTCCTGTTTCATAATATTTAGGAGTATTTTAACCGCTAGCTTTGTATTTGCAGTAGGTTAGTGTGTTCATGAAGGGTGATTAATGTACAACGTGCATTACATATGTTACTGTTATATTTGCATGTTCAAGGGAGTGTTTTTTTATTGTACCTATTTTTGTAGACTATCGTACGAGATGTGATCTTTCCCCTGATGTGCTACACGGATGAGGATGATGCTTTATGGCAAGAGGACCCATACGAGTATATTCGTTTGAAGTTTGGTAAGAAAAGGTTAGGGTCACGATGGATAAAGAGGCCTATGATTTTACATTGGCCAAGTTATGTGCTTTCTGTAGCACAGAACCATACATCTCTGTATTATCACTTGCATGCGCATTAATTGTACATACCTGCAATCTTGTTTTATTGAGAAAAAAAAGCATGTGTATAAATTGACGTACTTTTTCATCGTCTTTTATATAGATGTTTTTGAAGATTTTGTCTCTCCAACTACGGCTGCACAGACTCTGTTATACACTGCAGCCAAAAAGAGGAAAGAGGTAAAAGAGGGGGGGAACTCTGCCTCTTCCTGACACCTGATCTGTTGAGTTCTTCTTCCTTGCATATTGTCCTTCCCCTTTACGGAGACCGCTGCATCTACACACTTCCAGCAGGAAGTCTTCCACTTGACCGTTATAATACTATATGGCTGATGTTTCCATGTGATTCCTCTGTGCTTGTTCCTCCACTCAATCGGTCCATCTATTTTCAGCCAGCCTCTACTTTGGTAAACGTCTGGATTTGTGTTTGGTGCCATTCTTGTGACAATTTCATTCCTCGATTATTTCCATTTGTGTGTGCAATAGTTAATGCATTTCAGTTCACATAAGAGTAACGTATTTCAAGTGCAAAATGGATCGTGTGAATAAAGTGGGTGTCTGGATTGTAGGTTCTGCAGAAGACTATGGGTTTCTGCTACCAACTGCTGACAGAGGCTGCTGTGGATCCACGTCAGAAGGATGGTGCCCTACACATGATTGGTCAGCTTGCTGAACTCCTTCTGAAGGTAAGCTCGATAAATATTCCCACTTTTAAATGTCAACATGTAAACTGCATTCCACATTAAATGTTTATTTATACCGAACTTTATGTGGGTCTTGTGTCCATTCATAGAAAAATGTTTACAAGCATCAGATGGAGACAATGCTGCAGAATCACGTATTTCCTCTGTTCAGCAGTGAGCTGGGCTATCTGAGGGCCAGGGTAAGACAACATTTTACACATGCACGTTACATCTGTTAGTCAAGTCATACATGTTCACTCACACTGCACTCAAGCATTCAAATCTTGAACTGCTCCTTTGATGTGTATTTGTTTTTTTTATTTTATATATTTTACATTGTGATTATTAAACAGTATAATTTTAGAGCCAGTTACTATATCCCCAGATTGAATCCAGTCCCATTAGATCTTGGAAGCTAAACAAAGTTGGGCCTGGCTAGTACTTGGATGGATGGACCACCATGCACACACCGGTTTCATATGGCTGTTGTGACTACATTTTGGGCAGTAGAGAGCAATGCAGCAAAATCCATTGTTGTACAGTGCATCTGTTCTTCCTGTTTTCATCATCCAATTGACATAATTTAAGTATATATGGATTTTTAGAGGTTGAGGAATACAGTTGTGTTCATACAAATAAATGCCTGGTTTCTTGTGATAATTTACAAGTGGCTGTTGGGTTGTCTGCATGCAGGCTTGCTGGGTGTTGCACTACTTCTGCGAGGTGAAGTTCAAGAGTGATGCCAACCTGCAAACAGCGCTGGAGCTCACACGACATTGCCTCATTGAAGAGAAGGAGATGCCCGTCAAGGTGGAGGCAGCCATTGCTCTACAGGTGCTCATTTCCAACCAAGACAAAGGTAAAATTTGGATTGTGCATGTTTATTCGGAAATCTTTTTGTAAAAGTTGAACAGTGTATTGGCTGGTAGCTTGGTTGTTTGTAAAGAGTGGTGATTCACAACCGTATGTCTAACCATGATTAGTAAACAATGTTTATCGGCAGGTCAATGTAATAAACTAATAATGGAGCGTACATATTATTTATGACTGAGGGCCATATATGGTGTGATGTACATATTAAGGGCTGGAGGAGTCATTGACTTCTGATGAGAGACCACAGCTTTTGCTGGATAGTATCTGACCTCAAATGTGGCTCACAGTACAAAACAATTAGAAATATGCTTCACAACAGTATATTTAATTATTTGTATTTTAACCAAATTCAAATTACCAACAATAACATGCATCTTAATGTCCTAATGCACATACAATAGACAATTGTCTGTTATAATGGTTTGCATAACGCCGAAATGTCTACTGTTATACACCAGCCAAGGACTACATTAAGCCGCATGTGCGGCCGGTGATGCAAGAGCTGCTTCACATTGTGCGGGAGACGGAGAACGATGACCTCACCAGCGTGGTGCAAAAGATGATCTGCGAGTACAGCGAGGAGATGGCCTCCATTGCTGTAGAAATGACACAACATCTGGTGAGGCTGGAGCTTCATTCATTGTGCAAGCTTTGAATACACGGGTCCTAATATAAAACCAGTACCCAGAATTTGTATTGTTACTTTTATCACAACTTTATATTCAGTATTCACAAGTTTAATATTTAAACCAAAATCACCAATGTAAAGTCGGGTTATAAATGATGTATTTTTGAGATTTCCATGGTTTTTCCTCTTGCAGGCAATGACATTCAACAAGGTTATCCAGAGCAGTGGAGATGATGAGAACTCTGATGACAAAGCGGTAACTGCTATGGGCATCCTCAATACCATCGACACCATCCTCAGCGTGGTAGAGGATCACAAGGAGGTGGGTAAAAGCACATGTCCGCTGTGTCCGTGCTCTCCATACATGCTGATTAATCTGTCATGAAAATCAGCGTTGAAATATTGCGGGGATTTGGAAAAGACAATTAAATATATTTGATCATTAAAACATACGTTTGTATTTAAATTGTACAATGTTTATAAAGTGAATACGAGAGCTTTTGCAACCTCAGGTTTATGATTACAGATTACACAGCAGCTGGAAGGCATTTGTCTACAAGTGATTGGTGTGGTGCTTCAGCAGCATGTTATTGGTAGGTCACACTGCATTTTATTTCGTATCTCTTCCAAGCACATAGGTTCATGGTTTTGTGTTTTAGTTCATTCTGATTATCATTGTGCACAAGGTATATTTTGATTTGTGTTTTGTGTGTAGAATTCTATGAAGAGATTCTGTCATTGGCCTACAGCCTCACTTGCCAACAAATCTCACCACAGCTGTGGCAACTCTTGCCCATCCTCTTTGAAGTCTTCCAGCAGGATGGTTTTGATTACTTCACAGGTAAATTGCAATTTAACATTTTCATTTACATTTTAGGTATTATAAATGTGTGTTTTTATTAAACAGAATGTATTGGGACACTGTTTTGATCGGATCCATTTGTATTTTTTACCCTTGCAACCTCTTGCACCCAGACTTGATGCCAGTTTTGCACAACTACATCACCGTCGACACAGACATGCTGCTATCAGACTCGCGATACCTGGAGATCATTTACAACATGTGCAAAAAGGTAGGAAAATAAGCGTAAACGGACGCATCACCTCGTTACAATGCTAAACCAGAGTCACTGGCTGCTCTGAATTCTGTAGTCCCTGATATGTGTCCATATTTCTTAGGTGTTGAGCAGTGATGCTGGGGAGGACACTGAATGCCATGCAGCAAAGCTACTGGAAGTTGTCATACTGCAATGTAAAGGACGAGGCATTGATCAGGTAACAACGATGCAGAGCAATTTATCGTGCTCCGAGGGATCTACGTACATATATTCAGCTGCAAACTAATAAATTCATATTTAATTGTACGGAACTATCTGTACACACCAGAATTTGTTTTGCATGTATGTAAAAATTGTTATTGTGCTGGTACATTAATGTTTGGCAACTTGAGACTATTTTTGGATAAAAATAAGTTTGGAGTAATAATTGCTTTAACACAAACTTATCCATTTACAGAAGTAAAATGGATTGTGGCATCACAAGGCTGAGGATTTGCGATCGAGTGGGCATACCTTCATCCTGCAGTGAATATTAAAATGCCTCATGGTGTTAATTATTTTGTAATTTACATCAGCTGTCTAAAAAAAATCAGCATGTGGGGAAAAATATGAGCAACGTAATATTTCTTGCTGCATTGTTTGAAAGGTGTCATTGTAGTTCAATTGCTGCTGCTGCTACTTGCTTGTCCGGTCTTCTATGCGAGTGAACTCTTGTGGTATTTTTCCACACGGACCCGTCTCCCATAGGTAGTGCCACTGTTCGTGGAAGTGGTGCTGGAAAGGCTGACGCGGGAGGTGGTGTCCAGCGAGCTGCGCACCATGTGCCTCCAGGTCGTAATTGCTGCGCTCTACTACAACCCACCCATGCTGGTCGGTGCCCTCGAGAACATCCGCCCATCCAACGGCGCAGAGTCCATAACATCTCACTTTGTAACGCGCTGGCTCGACGACACGGACTGCTTTCTCGGGTAAGCATGGTTTGCGTTTTATATTTTGCGCGCGTGTGTGTGTTTGTGTCAACTTAAATGATGCCAACCGAGATGGATTGGTTTTGTTGGCCATTTCTATGTTTTTTAGGTGACTTTTCCATAAAAATTAGTTTTGTGCACTTGGTGAATATTACATGCTGTGATGTGGCTTAGAAACATGGACATTGACAAAATATGGAACAAAAACTTCTCAGTATGCAAAGAAGTATGCAGAGAAGCAGGCATAAAATTAATTGAAGACGTAAGGATCGCTTTGAGTAGAGAATGTTCGTGAAAAATATCTCGACTGTTAAAGTGAGGATTGGGCAGAACACTGCTTGAAGGGATGATGGCTGGTTGTCAAGACTATAGCATCAGAGTGGTAACTAAAGGAGTGCGTGCACCCAGGAAGGATGAAATTCGCTTGTGTGCAGATCTTAGATTTGATTGCTTCAACGCAAGACCATTAGATATTGTGACGGTTTGGGAAGGCCTTAATTTCTGCGGTGTATTGATTAAGGCTGATGATGATGTGCGTGGCAGGATCCATGACCGTAAGATCTGCATACTGGGGCTGTGTGCGCTGATGGAGCTTCAGCAGCGTCCCGAGGCCGTGGGCAGCGTGGCCGCACAGATAGTGCCCTCGCTGATCCTGCTCTTCCAGGGCATCAAGCGCTCCTACGCAAAGCGGGCCGAGGACGAAGCGGAAGGAGACAGCGACGACGATGATGAAGACGATGAGGAAAATGGCGAGAATGGTAATGTCTTTCTGAAGGTTGAACAAAGATTGCATGGATCTTTTGTTGTAGCTTCAGCATAACAACACTGAGACTGGACAACAATGGAGGGCCTGAGGTGAAAGCCTTTGTTGCTGCTTTAGTTTTATACGACTAAAGCTGAGGAACCATACCTCTGGGTAATACTATGCTCTGGAAAGTAAAATGCACTCTCACAATTGTGTGGTCTTAATGAAGTTATATAAATGTGGTTACGGACAAACACCTACCAGATTATAAAATGAACCACCAGGGGGAAAACGTTTCCATCCTGTAACCCAGAGAATATGGAAACAATTGCTGTTGACAGAAAACTGATTGGAAACATTTAAAACAGAAAAGTATATCATCTTATAAACACATGATCTTATAAAATATTGAGGTGAATGTTTAATTACCAAAATGAAAAGTGCATTAAAAAAATGCTTCTTGTTAATACACTTGGTGTAATTGCTTTTCTTTGTTTGCATTACACAGAACTGGGTAGTGATGAAGATGATATCAATGATGAGGGTCAGGAGTACCTGGACATGCTCGCCAAAGCCGCCGACGACGATGACGACGATGACGACGACGATGATGAGTGGGAAGAGGATGAGACTGCTCTGGAAGAGTATACCACACCAATCGATGATGAAGACACTGGCATTGATGAATATCAAGTGTTTAGGGGTGTGTTGCAAGGTGAGATACTTAAATCACAACTGAAAATTGTCACTTGTCATAAAATTATTACGATTTTCATTAGCAGTGGTGATTAAGCACAAATAAAAACAACCTAACGCATTCACATTGTTTCACAACCAAATACATATTAATTGGTTTTGGCCATGCCCACTTGTGCTGTGTGTTTGACAGTCTTGGAGCAAAGGGAGCCAGATTGGTACCGGGCCCTCACCTCGCATCTGTCTGAGGAGCAGAGGAAGCAGGTGCAGGAGGTGTTTTCTTTGGCAGAACAGCGGAGACTAGCAGCTCGTAAGTTGTTGTCTGGACCATGATACTCTTCACGTAATTTTCTTAACTCTTGAACCATTGAATTACCAATCGTCCTTTACATGTGTATTTATATTTTAATAATCCACATATACTGTTGATTTCCTTTTGTTTACAGAGTCGAAGCAGATTGAAAAGCAAGGCGGGTACCAGTTCCAATCCCACGTGGTTCCATCTTCCTTCAATTTTAGTGGTGGAACACCAGGCATCAACTGAAGCAACGCCAAAAGAAGACCACAGGTTTCCTCCTGGTGATCCCATCTGCCTGGCCAGGCGACCAGTTTGCCTTACAAAGTATAATTGCCATCCTTGAATAAAGGGACAGTGGAGACAACACACTTTTGTATTTTATCAAAGGTCTATTGTGAAGTAAATCCACATGAGGGCACTTCTGTTTAACATGCTGTAGCTGCTGGTCTATCCAAGGGGTTTCTTGTGATAAGTCGGACACTAACATTTAATCAAGCAGGCTGATGGAATGTTTAATTAATTAATCAGACGTGATTAAATTACTAGAGTTTTGCACTTTTATTAGCCTGATACGTAGTATGCTGAGTGTAAAGCAAAAGGTATGTACAATATTTAGTTTAATGCATTTTAGAAAATGTGGGTGTTTACATCTGACTGAATTGTGTACAACACCCGTTAAGAGAGCCAGAGTTTGGTTTTATTTTCCATAGACATACAGACATCTCCACTGTGGAGGCTTACGTGGGCTTAAAATTTTTGCAACTGCGTGCATTGTAGCAACATACATCAGTTAATTCCAAATAGTAAAATGCAAACAAATCTAAAGCATGCCAGCATTTTGAATAAATTATAGCAGTGTAATAAACATTACCTTACTCCTGTGTCTACCAAGATAACATGGTGCTGCATTGAGCTGGTTTAACAGTGAAATCTATGCAGGGATAAAACTGGTGGGTACATCCCAGGTGTCTTGAATAATGCATAGTTTAAAATATCCATAACCTAGGTGTGTTGATACACTTTTGTATGCTACAATAGTTTATACAGATGCATGGGGAAATGGCATTATAAGCAGGTACATAAAATATTTCGTTTTAACAATGTGAATATTATACAGTACCGTATATACAGTGATGTTTTGAGCCGTTGTCTAATGGGAAGGTGTAGTCAGTATTATACGTAAACCTGGATAAATTTAAAGACCGTAAATGATAAATTGTGAAAATAGAAAAAAAATCCAACATCTTAATCCTCTACCTTTTTTAAAAAAATAGAACAACACTTTGGATAGGTGTTGATTTGTACATACCACCTCAGCATTGATAGTGGAAAAGGTACTTGCAATTTATTTTAATTGGAAGAAAATATTTTAAGTAAGGACAGACTTGTTCAATTTTAACTTTCCTTTACCCATGTGTGAAAAAGTGCATCTGGCCAGTCAGTACAAAATGCAAAACATGGGCCCTTCGGCTAATTACTGCATGTGGCTGTGCTGTTAAACTTTGACCTTTATTGATTTTTAATTCCATGACTCGTTTAGATTAGACATCCAACAATTTTGCATTCGATATCCCCCACATTTTTCCCAAGAAAGGGGAATTAGCTAAAAAGGTTCCTTAAATTACAATAATTGGATGCATTAATGGGCGATATTTGTATATTATTTGTTGGATTAGTTACGTGCATTATGCAGTATATACACAATGAATACTTGCGCACATACTGTACTATACACCGATCTGCTGGAAACTGTTTTGGAATTTCATTGAATCCTTAACTTTCAGCAGCTCTATAACAGAAACAGATTCAGTCATGTTTTTTTTATAATACATCCCCCTATAACTGCTGTCGAACGGGGTAACTGTACATAACCCACAATTTGACTGAATCGTCAGTGACGACTGCAGTGGTGTGAAAATAAAAGTTGTCGCCTCGATGTCAGTCATTTTTATTTTTTGCAAGGGAAATAAGAGGGACGTTTCCAAGAATATGAAACATCAAGATTTACTAACGATTTGTGCACATGTGAAAGCAATTCATAATCGGCAAACTAATTTCCATGTACTATGCATATAGCTAAAGTTTTAATCGAAATGCCATTTTCCTGTTATAAACCGCAATTGTAAAATACAGCTAACCCACGTGGAATATTACACATGCACGTATTCCCTATGCCCACCTACACTCATTCGTGTCTCAATCATTTGCCTGGTTTGTGCAAATTTTGTGTATTTTATCTTTTAGTGCAATTCCTTCCCACTTCGTCAGGTGTACATATTCTCTTTTAGCGAGCTAAGACCCCATTGTGCGGTGGAGTTGGTGACTGCTTGCTGAACTACACTGTCAACCCAACCAGTTGAAATCACTCGCGACATCTGATGTCGACCCTGGGTCTTCACGACCCACACCTGACCAGCATGGCGAAGAATGATCAAGCAACCCCCCCCCCCCCCCCAGAGATGACAATAGGCTTTAAAACAGGTATTACGATGTTCAAACACCAAGACATCGGGGCTGCATTAAGCCACACATTTTTGTGGCAAAACATCCAAGCATGCTCTGATAATATATGTATTCTCTTTGAAACTGATTACCGTAGCAGTTCACACTTGTGTTACAAGCCCATAAAGAAGGCTGTCTGGTGCAGGGCAATCCGTTTGAAAGACTACATATATTATCAGAGCATGTTTGTTTGATGGATGCACAGACTTTTCGGATGGGAGTCCTGAGGGTGGCCCTAAACAGCTTTATGTGTATCCAACCGCGTGGAAGGAGACGCGTCTGCTGAAGACCTGGATCTAAGAGCACACGAAGTTTCTTACATATTAAAGAAAACATGCAAATCCCAATCAAATCGACTGACGAAACAAAACCCACCTTTAAAATCATACGCGCCACTTGGGCAATCCCGTCACGTCCCCACTGTCCGATATCGGTGAAAGTTGGCCGGCCATAACTTTGAAAGTCTTTTGGTTTTGCTTTATTAGTCATTGTTAACGAAGCTTCAAACTCGCATCGCACCGTGACACTGGACGTGGGGGGTTGGGGGTGGTGAAGGTGGGCGAGACCCTTGGGGCGAACCCTTTGCCATGGGGCAGCGACGGTGGCACGATGTTAACTACCTCGCGTGGTATACAGGAGGTCGTGGGTTCGATCCCGACCCGGACGCCTGCTATATATTTAGAGTTTGCATGTTCTGTCGCTCCCCATGCTCGCCGGATTTTCCCCCCTCCACATTTAGACTCGACATCACGCGTTTAAGAGTAATTTGGATGCTATAAATCTCCAAGCTATGACGAGCCACTTCGTTGAGCAATCACTTGTGGCCAGGTCGCTTCTAAATAACGGCGAAATAGCTCGGTGGGCCCTTACCTGGTGAAAATTTAAATAGTTTATTCGTTTTTTTTTACCTCGACCGAGTTACGCGGCGGCCCCACGACCGCAGAGAAACCATTCGGGTGGTGACGTCACAATCGATCATCGTTGGCATGGAGACACTTTAAGGGATCGCGACACCGTTTGCGCTCTTCCAAGCCGTTCGCTCTGACGGCTTGGAATTTAAGTGAATCTTGCGCCTGGATTGAAATCAATAACTTGGTGAATGCTGTGCTGGCAGTGATTCGGGTTTAGCCTCTCGATTTATGTGCGATGAAGAAGGGTCCATTTCCCGAAACTTCGCCGATTATATATTTTAAGAATACACGTACTGGACCGTGACCACGAGGCGTTAACGTTGAATGGAATTATCCGCACGTAAGGAACCACATTGTAACAACAGCTGATGTTACACTGTCGCACGTGCACATAAACTTCTGGGCTCAATGATTTAATCTGGTCTTTAATAGAGGAGGGGATGATTAGAATTATAGTATTTGTTTATACTGGAGGAATCCAATGAGCTAAGAAGCTCCTTTTCACAAATGTTCAGTAAGGGCAGGTCATAACGTTACAACAATACAAAAATACGATAGGAGTGAAAAGTATAGGAAAGGTGAACAAATAACTTAAATATATAATATGCAAATAAAACTAAACCTATTTTTTATTCATCATGGGACCTCCTTTGCCAGTATCTGGCAACAAAACAGGTGTTAAGATTCGAAGCATTCGTGACTGCAGGAATTACTCTGGTTCTTTCGGTATAGTCACGTTGAAAGAAATGTAATAATAGAATACGACGTTTCGATTGCAACACAAGCAACCATCATCAGGTACAAATTAATTATTAAAACACCAAATTGAAACCTTTCACAAGGAATCATGTGTGCATTAACCACAATACCTGTGGTCAGAATGCAAACAAAAAAAACGTACTCTGATAACATGATGAATAAAATAGAAACCTTTTGCAATTAATCATGTCTGCATGTTTACCACATATACTTGTGGTGAACATGCAAAAACAAAATATTCTGGTAGTATATGCATTGTCCTTGAAAATGATTGGTCCACACCAGAGACAGCTTTCTTTTTGTTTTGCATCCTGACCGCAAGTATTGTGGTTAATGCAGACATGATTCCTTGTAGAAGGTTTCAGTTTGGTGTTTTAACATCTCAGCACCTGCTGTATTGCCAGAAAAAAGGGGACAACCTATTCTCATTTTTTTCTTACCAGGTAAAGCGCACTGAGGTATTAGCTTATTGTTCAGAAGCGACCCGGCCACAAATGAAAGCTTAATAAAGTGGCCTATCATGCGGAAATTTATATGAGCAAAATAATGTAAATGATGATGAGGAGCAGACGAGCAGGGCGCGTGATGATGAAGAGAAAAGTAAACCCACGTTGTCCACATTGCCTCGGAACTTGCACCGTGACAACAGCAGCGGGGGCGTGTGGGTGTGCCGCTCTCTGTGGGGTGGCTGGCGCGGGAGCCGCGTGCCCTCCTCCCTCCTCCTCCCTCCCTCCCCGTGCCCTCCTCCCTCCCCGTGCCCTCCTCCCTCCCCGTGCCCTCCTCCCTCCCCGTGCCCTCCTCCCTCCCCGTGCCCTCCTCCCTCCCTCCTCCCTCCCCGTGCCCTTCTCCCTCTCCCCGTGCCCTCCTCCCCTCCCTCCCCGTGCCCTCCTCCTCCCTCCCCGTGCCCTTCTCCTCCCTCCTCATCCCTCCCTCCCACCCAGTACTCTCCTCCCTCTCCCCGTGCCCTCCTCCCTCCCTCCTCGTGCCCTTCTCCCTCCCCGTACTCTCCTCCCTCTCCGTGCCCTCCTCCTCCTCCCTTCCTCCTCGTGCCCTCCTCCCTCCCCGTGCCCTCCTCCTCCTCTCCCCGTGCCCTTCTCCTCCCTCCTCATCCCTCCCTCCCACCCAGTACTCTCCTCCTCCCTCCCTCCCCGTGCCCTCCTCCCCTCCCTCCCTCCCCGTGCCCTCCTCCCTCCCCGTGCCCTCCTCATCCCTCCCTCCCACCCAGTACTCTCCTCCCTCTCCCCGTGCCCTCCTCCCTCCTCGTGCCCTTCTCCCTCCCCGTACTCTCCTCCCTCTCCGTGCCCTCCTCCTCCCTTCCTCCTCGTGCCCTCCTCATCCCTCCCCGTGCCCTCCTCCTCCCTCCTCCTCCCTCCCCGTGCCCTCCTCCTCCCTCCTCCTCCTCCCTCCCCGTGCCCCCCTCCTCCTCCCTCCTCTCCCCCCGCGGTCCCCGCCCCACGCGGCACAGCGCGGCCCCAGGGTTCGCCCGGCTCCTCCTCGCTGCTTCCTGCCCTGGTGCATGGCGGTAAGAGAGACGGAATTGTTGGTAGAAAACAAAAAACTCTCGCGCCCGCTCGCACCGCGCCGCACGTAGACGAGCGTGCGAGCTTCGTGGGGTCTCCCATCACCACCACGACCACCACCACCACCACGACCCTCGCCCGCCAGCGTGGCCCTCGCCTGGCCCTCTTAGCCCGGCCGCGGTTATGGGGCACCGAGCGGGGTGGCCCCGGCAAGTGGCGTGGGGCCCGCAAAGCCGCGCTGGTTTCTTACTCTGCGGCGGCGGCTGCTGCTGCTGTACGGGGAGAAGCGTGAGGGTGGTGCTGGTGGTTGGGAGGCGAGCAAACGAAACGAAACAGATCGTCGTCTTGTATATCGTTGGCGAGAGAACTAACGAGCGCAGAGGGCAGCTAACAACACGCTGGACACACACACAAACACGGGCAGAGAGAGGCCGCTCGCTCGCTCGCTCGGCCCAGTTGACGTCTCTCGTGGGCTTGTCCGCATTAGGAGACTTGTCGCTGGTTGTTTATTGTTTTAAATTAAATATGCGATGAAGGTGCCGCTTGCTGTGGGGGGGGGGTGTTGTTGGTGCGGTAGGTTTTATTTTTCTTAAATTGGCTTAATTGCTTTGCCCTCAAAGCGGCTGAGAGCGCGTTGGGTTTAGGCTAGGCCTAGTTTGGGCTTGTGTCATGTGTGGCTATAGTGTGGGGTTTTTAAAAAAATATATATTTCTTTGGGAAGTGCAAATGTAATTGTTTCCGCGTTGTTTACGCCCTCGTTTCGTACAGTTGCAGTGTAACGAACAACAAGGCAAGGCGCACATTTATGCTGCGTTGGACCACGTTGAGGATTGATGATTGCACCGTCTAGGCCGCTTGCTCTGTTGCGACTGCCCGGCAAACCACACAGCATTTGCTGCGGGTGTTTCATTGTGACTCTTGTCAATGCGTGTCTTTCATTCGACCATCGATCGTGTTCTTACACGACCACGGCAACTCTCACACATTCTAAATGTACACCCGTTAGTCAATTAGCTGCTGAATGAGAGGGAGGGGGGTCTCCCCCCCCCCCCCCCAATGCCACGTAGGTCACAGGGGTCGTTTTGAACATACTTCATCACTTCGGTCAATGTGAGTGAAGAAGCCGATCGTAAGACGTTGGAGAATAATTATCACCCCTTGATCAAGACACTCCATAATGGTCCTTTTTTTGGGGGGTGGGGGTAGATCACAAAGATGAATGTGTCGTTAAACCCTCGGCCACC